GTCTGCCTTTGCCCCACTTGAGAACACAAGGAGCGATGCTTTTAAGTGCTGAGCATCACTGATCTCAGTAAAACATGCACAAACTCAGCAACTCCATGACAGGCTTTATACCAAAAGGTGGAGATTGGACACTGGGCTAGAGGCACTTTTTGTTCAGTGGAATTAAGCCTATGTATTGGTTGGTCCTAAATCTAGAGTGATCTAAAGACGCCAGATACCTCAGAAATAAGGGATATTTGGATTTCTTTTTTTGGACCAATCTTTTTGCGGAACAGTGAACTCCCAATAGCATCTGATTAGTTCTGTTGGTGCTATATTTTCTGACAGCCTGGGCTTGACTGTCTTCTCAGATTTGTTTTTACGGTGCAGGACTTAGTAAAAGGAATAGCCATGACATAAAGCTGGTATAAAGAGAGAACAGATCCCTAATGCATTATGTAACGATGGGCTTAGATCCTCAAATTCACTTCATTTAAGACACAAGCTATAAAGGCAGAAAGAGACAGTGCCTTTCTCATTTCAGCTACCAAATCCATCCAAATAGACATGTGCATTGCCAAATTTTTATTCAATTTTCATTAAGAAGAATTAGCTATATATGTTTATAACATATATTGCATGCAGTATTATAATAACATCAAACAAGCTTTCAACCATTGCAAGTGTTTTAAGCTGCTGTAATAAAGAGGGCATGAGGGAGTTGCTTCAGATTTTTTTTTAATGACAATATTCTCAGAAACTTTCAGTCAGCTTTTTGTTATCTATTCTGCTACATGGACAAATGTGCAGGGGTGCTCTTTTCCTCCTAATGTGAAGTGCTTTCTTAGGTTAATGACTTTTGAGTATTTAAAATCAGAGCAATCGTTTTAAGTGTTTTGTTGTACCAACTGTAGAAGCCTCATTGAGTTAAATTGGTTTCGCTACATTATCTGTTGGATTAGAAAACTGGTTAAGAACTGATGTGAGAGCTTTTACTTTAACTTGGATAAATGCTTTCATTTTTACCCAGAAACAGGACAGATATTTCTGTATATTGACCTCATAATAGTGCTGTCACGACCAGCATTACTTTCAAACAAATCATGCGGTATCTTGCTCTTCTTCTTCTTTCTGATTCTTTTTAACCTCTTGAGGCAGCAACAGCTATTTTTTTAACATAAATACCACAGTCTGCATAAGTGCCCCACAGAAAGCACTCATGAATACAGAATGGTACTTTCTCTCCTGTTGTCAAGGCCAAAGTAGAGTTTTACAAGCCCTTGGGCACTGAATAGGCAGGATTTCATTATGGGATGAAATCTCTGAGGTTATTTTGATTTTCCTTCTAATGCATTTTATCTTCCAGTTCAATAGTTGGAATGTCTATTTTGTCCGTTTATAGAAGCTCCAATTTCTGTATACTTACATTTTATTAACACCTCACATTTAGAATGACTGCATTAACACATAGCCCACTCTTTTTCTCACAGACACGCCAGTCTATAGAGCACTACTCTAAATTGCTGAGAGGAATACAAATGCTTTCAGGTACAGCACAGAAAAAGTGCCTTCTGATCTGTCACATACTTTTTTTTTTCTTCCCCTCTCCTTGATGCTAGTACAACCCATCCAAAGACAGCATTCAGCTGACATCAAATTTAGTTTATTTCTGCTTATTAAGGGCATCATGAAATTAGAGTTGAATAAAGCATTTACTTTAGACATTAATACATGTAAAGTATTAATGTCTGATGATTTTTTCCTTAAAAGGGTTTGAATGGCATCTGACTTCTATTTCTGGCTCTAGAAACATATTTAAGAAAATCCCACTCTTCATGATGGAGGTGTTTTGTTTTGTGCTACTCATGCAAGTGCAGTAACAGTAGCTGAAACACCTGTTCTGCCCTCTGAGTCACCTTGTTCCTGGAATGGACACAATTGCCATATGTATGCTCACAGTGTGCATTTCTGACTGCCTGCGATGTTTTGAGAGGTTTTTTTCCTCTTATGCCTCTGTCTACAACATTGTCTAGCATTCTTGCTTAGGGTGTTTTGAGGAGAAGATTGCTGCCACCTTTTACTTTGATCAATCACAACTGAGCTGTGCACGTTGAAGATCTGCAGTCAAACTACAGAAAAAATCATTGAATAAATCTTTTGAAGAAATCAGCAGGGCATGCAGCCTGTGACTGTCTCCCAGATGGAGAAGCAACTAATTTTGTCCAATAACCCCATGTGATTACTCAGTTGGCTTCAGTGTAAGGAGTTATGTCAGGTGCACAATTACAAACTATTACTGCTGAAATAATTAGATTAGACACTGCCTTTATAATATCTGCAGCTGCCCTCTTGCTAATTACTCTAAATAACCAGCCACTGCACACTAGAGGGACTAGGTCAGTGCTTTGTTCTCTGCTTTTTAATAACTTTAATTCCAAAATCATGGATTATCTTGTGATTTACACTCTACAGGAACTTGTGGTGAGTATTTCTTCAGCTGGATTTAGTCAATAATTTCACTCTTAGCAGTAGATACTGACCCTGACAGACAATGTGATAACTAATAGCTAGAGAAACCAGAGGGATACAAAAAGGTTAGACTCTGCCTTCACAGCAGTAGTTAATCTACTGATTTTTAAAACAAAGATTATTTGTGATTTATGAAAGTGTAACAGAGAAGAATAAGGCACTATGGCCTTTCTAAAGGGTGTAGTACTGTTGTGGTGATACTGTTCAGAGTGCTGCGCAGAATATTTCAGACTTGCCTACCATCTTGCCTTGCCTATGAAAGTGCATCATCCAAGAGTTACATTTAAACTTCTGATGCTTCTGAGACCAGACAAGAATTAGATCAGGTATAAATTGGAAAAGCTGAGTTTTAAGCTGAAAGGAAAGGTAGAAAGGGGAGTTAAGGTATGTCAAGGACCTGACACAGAATCATGGAAAAAGCAACAACTTAGTAAGGAAAAGGCATTGTAAAGTCATGTTTCTGCTGGTTTTATTCCACTCTGCACTTAATCATTATGTAAAACCGTAAGAATGATTCAGAAGAGAGCAGAAGAGCTTGATTTTGCTTTGGAAGAAAGTCATTATAACAAAAAACACACTTAGAAAAAAAAAATGGTGTATTTCTGTAATGTAGCATTTCATCAACATCAGGAACAAACACTAAGAAAAATAAAATGGAAAGAGAAGCAGAAGGGAAAAGAGGAGCCTGATTACCTGCATGTACTGAAGGAGATGCAGAATTTCATTAGCTTTCTGGATAAGGTTAAAGTTGAGTGATACTTTGCTTTAATTCAATATGTGAGAGTCTCAGAAACTATGGTAAATAGCACCACATAAGTACTAGTTGGATGCACTTACCTAGTTGGAGGATAAGAGTTTCTGTCTCTCCTGAAGGGTTTTCTTCTGTAAAACTCAAAGATATAGGAAAGAAATCAGTATCATTATATCAATTTTGCAGATGATGCAGTGAAATGACTTAACTAAGATTCCCCACCTAGTCAGTGGCAAGATCTTGGAGCAGAATCCAGGTGTCTCAGTCCAGGGCTAGACTGGTGGGAACTTTGATGTCAGTTTGTGCTTTCCCACACACTGTTGGCAAATAGTTTTTCTGTTATAACAGAAACTAAAGATTGAGGTGAACCTAAGCCTGACTTATGATGGGAGCGTATTTTCTATTATAGCTCAGTTCAGGATTGGTTTTTTTTGCTTCAGAGCATTCTCTTACTTCAGTGATACTGAACAAATCTTATTTTAAGTTGTAAATCTGTGTTAAAATGCTCTATCTTTCAGTGCTGGTCATATGAAATCAAACCATATGTCACAGATAACTGAGGCAGGAGGAATATGCGCACACTCCACCATGATTAAATGCTTGTTTCATCCTTCTTGCAACTAGTAATCATGAGCCACTATGTTCAAGATCCTCATCTTCAAAGCCCAATGCTGCTCTTCTCTTATCTACATCTTTTGGCTTAATCTCGCACCTCCCCATGCTCCCTTCCATCGTAGCTTTCAGTCACTCGCTTTGCTTCCTTCATTCCCTCCCCCTCTCATTTCGTATTTTCTTTTGTGTCAGTCTCTATATTTGAAATAACCTCTCACTTTCAAGGCAAAAAACCCTCAAGAAAATTTTCCCTTTTGAAATGTCCTACGTTGGTTTCCTACACTAACAATATTTCAGTTGTTTTAATACATATCCCAGTATATTTACTGTGGAGATTTTTAGAGATTGATTTGAAAACTTGTATTTGTTGTGAATACTGCGTTAATTTGCTGAGTTCGCTGGAATTATTTACAGAACAAAGTGTTATTTTGCATGAGTTGCGTGAGAGAATCTAGCCCTGAATTAAGGAGTGTGTATGAGTACCCACAAATTTCATTGTCAAATAATGGAAGTGAAGAGGCCTAACATAGTAGGTCAGCCTCTGAATAAAAATGGCAAAAAATCCAAAGCAACTGTGTAACTTAAAGCCATTTATGCCTTTTTTTTTTTTTTTTTACTTCACTCAGCTATTTAAGGACAGATGCAAAAAGGATATTTTCAGAGGCACACATGGTAGACTCTCACTGAAAATCAACAGAATGAATTCTAAAGTCCTTCCTGAAAATGGAGTCTGAGTTCCTTCCTTATCAAGCACCTTTAAAATTTTTCCCAATCCAACATAGAAAGCCTGAGCTTTCCCTGTGTTTCTAAATCACTTTTGTCTATTTTTGGGCCTATTAAACTAATAAACATTACTGTGTTTAAATGTTTAAACTTCCAGTAGCTTAGATCCAAAATGTAATACAGTCATTATTAACAATTCAGTAGAATTTTATGTAGTATATTTTATTTCATGCTGTGACTAAGAGCATTGAAATGTTTTCAATACTTTATCCAAGACAAATAATAGTTTAAGAAAAAGCCTCCACTCCCGTCTACTCCATTCTACTTTGTTAATGAGATTTTTATGATTAAAAACTCCAACTTTACCACTACTGTTAAGCCTAGACCATCCCACAGAAGGCCAGATGCAGAAAATCACTGAGGAATTAGCACTTCTGTTACAAAAAAAAGGAAATGATCTGAGTGTGAAAAGCCAAATCTTCATTACTGATCGACACTTAAAGTGGAGGAAAACCATAGTAATTTAAGATTTAAACTTGTGCTACAAATATGTACATATGAAAAATTGTGTCATGGTAATACAGGAAATAAGGAACTGGGATTGTTTGGCAGAGTACAGTTATTACTGTATCAAATCAGATCAGTAATAAATTGCTGTTTTTAGTAGGAACTGATCACAGGACTTTCTTGACTTTAGAAATGTCTCGAGCTCATTGGAAAATATTTTGAGAAGAGATGGATCAATATATTTTCAGCAAGGGCTTTTTAGTCTGCAGGTATTGTTCAATTTGTAGCTCTTCACATGAATTTTCTTTTTTTTTTTTTTTTTACATTGTGTATGCAACCCAGTATATAACATTGACTGCTGCAAAGGCTGCTGGGAACACGGCTCTGGCATATATATCAATGGTATCAGCATCAATGGGCTTAAAGAGGGACTTCAGACCACTCTTTTTGTCCAGTTTCATTACTTGCTGCTGTTTTGTCTCTCCAGTTTCTATTTCTATTGTGCCATACGATCCAGGCAGGCTTCTGGGAATTCGGTGCTGCCTATTGGAAATGGCCAGTTCCTGGTTCACACCAGCTATGGAAAGGGAAAACAGAACAATGGCGTTCTTCACGTTTATCTGCAAAGGAAAGAGGAGAACCTGTAACAGCAATTTATAGGGCAAAGGTAGTGTACTTCATCCAAGCTAGCCATGATACTGATGTGGTGAAAATACCTATGAGATCCATAAGTGTGGAATGGGATTTATCACTTGCTTTGGCAGATGGACCACTGAAAGACTCTGTTCTATCACATCTAAATTCTGGTTATAATTTTACATGCTCTGAATTACTGAGGCACCATCGAGACAGCATGCATAGGCCCACCTGACTGAAAATAATTGACTGACTTCAAGGAGACAGTCATCCCACTGTGTGGCCAAAGCCAATGGGCAGTTCTCAGGCTCTTGTCAAAGCTGAGAGAACGTGGAGGTGGGACAGAAAATGAATATGGATCAGTTGTATCCACTACAACTTAATAAAATGAAGTAATAATAAATACTACCAAAGGTGCTGGAGAGTTCAAAAATATGTAGGCCTGGGCTACGAATTGTGAATTGTCAAAAAAAAAAGTTTCTTAATCAGTTCACTCTGCTTCATCACTAACATGCATATATGTACGTGAAGAAAGCAGCGAAGCCATCTGGAGTTCCTGGAAGAAATTTCATCTACAGACTCCTTTATTCAGTTTCCCTAGGCTTCATATCTACATAACTTATATCCATGCTAATTGTATCTGTATTTAGCTTATGCAGCTTAGGTGTAAAAAATGTAATCTCCAGGGGACAACATTGAAGACAACAGGCCTAGTTTTTGTTTGGCTGACAGCATTTTATTATGCTGTAGCAGAGCTAAAAGAGTCTTAGCAGAAGCCGCTACTAAAGAACACCTTCTGAGAATACCTTTCTTCCCCATCTCAGGTAATACTGTCATAATGACTTTGCCCTGACCCTGCAGGAGCAATTCAAGGTTACCATAACTTACACTGAGGACTGGACAAATATCAAATATTTTCTCAAAGTGTAAGATGTACAAATCTGGCTCAAGACATACTTTGTCTCTCATCTTACTCATTCTCTCTTATTCTCCATTTCCTATCTTAAATACAGCAAAAAACTATGTAAGAATATGTTGTCTTTAGTGCTAACCATGCTGCAAGGGGAAATTAGCATTGCATTTGGTTGCTTGTCATATTAATGTGCCAAAAGAATTAACCAGTAAATATGTTGTTTTCAAAAGGGGTAGAAGAATTTGCCTCCATAGTAGAAAAAGGTGGTGATGCAGGGTGATTGCTTTTGGAAAGTTATTCACAGTATTACGCTTACTGACCTCTCCACTCTGCCTTCTTGCTTTTATCTTGTTCTTTTGCTTTTTCATGTAGTCAGCATTGAAATGTGCAAATGCATATTCTACCAGTGCAGCAAAGACAAACACATAGCAAATCCAGAAGTAAACATCAAGTGCCTTGATGGCAGATGCTCGTGGAAGCGAAGATCGCGCACTGACCATCAGTGTAGTCATAGTAAGAACAGTAGTTATACCTGCAGTGTAGTGTAAGAAAATTTACTTTAGGTTTCATAGTAAACACCATAATAAGTATATTTACTAATCTGAAGCTGAGGAATATGTTCACAGTAGAAACCCCTTAATAGTGTGACTTCTGATTTTCAAAACAGGGCATTTGTAAAAAAACAGTGCATTTGTATGAGTAAGGCAACTTTGAACATGTTACCCTTGGTTTTGTTCTAGATCAGGACAAACAAAACCAGAAGACTTAACCCTGAAAAACTTTTGCATCTGGACTTGCAACCGTTACTCAGGCAAACAGATGCACAAGCTCTAGGAACATTTTTTTGTCACTGTCCCAGTTCCTTCAAATCAATTCTTTCATACATCTGCCTCACATTCGCTATTGCTTTTAACCATCTTTAGATGGTTATTTTCTGTTCTTTACTGAGGCAGCTGCTCTGATAGCGTGACAGAAATTAAAACATGAGGGAAATCTTTTAAAGAACTCTCTCGTCTGCACATGTAAACATAGTATTCATAAATGCACCTCCATGGAAAATGAGGGTTATTAGAGACTGGAATTACAACTTCAGCATACCCTTCCCTGTTAGTTCCCCAGACTATTTGTTGTACCTAATGACACTCTGGCAGGCACAGCTGACTGACTGATCCAGAAGGATACCCACGACATGGCCACTAGTAAGATAGAAGGAACATAAGACTGAATGATGTAAACTCCTCGATTTCGCCGAAGGTGGAAGTGGAGACTGAGCCTGGGAAACTGACCTGCTGGAAAAAAGAGCAAAGAAAGATTCTGACTGTGTGAATTACAGTTAAACTGATATTCCAAATAACATTTCCTATAATGACCCAGATCTACATTCTTAAACATCTTTCGGACAAGGATCACAAAAAGCTTTTTTCAATGTTGTTCAATTAGTCTTCATAAACCCTGCACGAGGCACTGCAGTTCTCATCAGCACTGTTAGCTAAGAATAGGTCAAATGATTTGTCTCAGGTCATATCAATGCCAGATCTGAAAATAAAATCATGAGTCTTCTCGAATAACAGTATTGCTTCAAAATGTGTACTGTCTTATCATCTGCTGTAGAAAGTCCTCCAGATACTAAATTTAGATTTTTTAAAAGGCCAAGTTAATTTCAAACTCAAAAAAGAGCTTAGAGGAGATGTGCAGCATAAATGAGGATCTGAATACATGAAAGAGGATGAAAAATCAGCAGTAAATAAATGACTCCAATCTTTTACAAACATTGCAATAAACCCAGTGATACGCATACACACCACTGACTTCTACTGGATAGAATTAGAATGATCTGACTGTACGTCATAAGCCTCATACCATCAGGGCTAATGGAAATTTTTCTTTGTCCGAAGTTGCAAATTAGGTCAAGAAAATGTGAGCTATACCTCAAGTGTTTTTTATCAAGTCTGGCTACTCCATGCAGTATTTTGTCAAACATACAGAGCTAAAGGACATAATATGCACAGTGGCTACCTGAAGGGTCAGCAAAGGTTGGCATTTTTTGCAAGTGTAAGCTAAAGAAAGCTCTTATCAGAAACCTGACAGGTTCTTAAATTAGTTAGTTGAGGGATTTTGTATTATACATATAGGAGGTTTCCTTATGCAGGAAAAAGTCAGATACTGTCCCTGAATTGAAGACAGATCCTGTTACCCGATTTGAAGTTCATCATTTCTGTTGTGAACTGGTAATTGGTAATTGTGAATTGAGCAAGCTGCAGCTTATCCAGCCCATGAATCTCCTCCTGGTTTTCTGACCAGTGGTAGACTATGTCCTCTGAAGAGTAGCCATCTGCCAAAAGAAAGCTGAATAAACACAAAGTTTGAGGAAGAAATTAAGAACTTAGAGGACTCTTAGTGGAAGTCCTCTAATAATTCCTCTGCTATATGTTGATTTTCATCAGTCCCATTGCAAACATGCTGTGATTTGGTCTGGATAATTCACTCTCCTGGCAACATCGATGTTGCCAGTGTCACATTGGGGTAGCTTTCCTACAGGGAGAATAATCCAAGTTGATTCACACTGAGTAGCAATATGTGGTATGGCACGATGCACTTCAGTATCATGAGACATGTTTTGCATGGTTTTCTGTCTGTTCTGTTTTGAACTTCCTTGATATTTTCAAACCAAAATGACAAAAAGGTAAAGGTTTCAAAGATTCTAGATTCTTGAACGTTTTGTAAGAAATGGTGCGTAGAGAACAGAAAATCAAATTTGTGCATCCAGTTAGAGCACAGCAACGTAACACAGACCCATGTCCATTCCGAGATGCACCAACTAGCTTGGCAATCACTATGTATATCATCAGCCTATTAATTAATGACTGCAGTTTGGCATGGGTGGCAGCTGGGAGATGACTACTAGGGAGAGCTGCAGGGCACCAGGGACATGAGAGAAGCGGGTATATGTCTAAGGGGATTTATGTAATATGCAAATCCATAGGAAATCGATCTTTGCTAGTTTTGCTGTTAATTAACAACTTGCTACTAGACCATTAATTTGTTTAAAGAGGCTTTATTTCTACACATTTGTTTCACTGAAATCAAACCCCTCAAATTCAATTAAAAAATTCAACCACCACCAAAACTCCCTGCAGAACTTGCTGGGACAGATTGCTGGTTCACTGTCTGCTGCCTCTGTATTTGGTGATTACATAAGTAAAACTGTAGATTGCTATTTTTGACAGGATAAAATGGTATTGTGGTTAATTGCCTAGAAAACAAAGTCAGTGCTAAAAAAGAAAAAGAGAAACTTGCATCAATAGGCCAGTGGGATCTGCTCAGAAACTGCTATTCACAGATCTCTGGAACCCTCAGGGCCTGTAGACTCCTTGATATAAAAAACACATTGCCATTGATTGGGTGGCCCCTGCTTGTGTTGGTGGTGAATTTCATTCAAAAGTATTAATGCTCATGGGAATGACATGCTGATTATAGATAAAATACAGGTTGGACAAAATATAAATTCATTCTTCACCCTCCTTTGTGAGTACAAATGAATTTAAGCCAATCCATGCAGTATTCTGACTGATTTCTGTGTAACAGATACAGGAACGCCTAGCTAAGCTATGCAAGGGTTAGTCACAATGGCATTCATTAAAAGCAGGGAATTCTTTCTTTTTCCTGTTTTCTCATAAAGAAAAAATAGCACATCAAACTTTGCCTGTGGGCTTCTTATTCTCCCTGGATTTGATGCAAACCTCAGTAATTCTAGTGACTGTCATGATTGCGCTGGGTTTGACATCAAGCACAAAGTTCAACATGTGTCAGCAGGACTGTAGGTTGTTCATCTTCACTAAATTAAATCCTATAGTTTTGAATTGGATCAGAGCTGAACTGGTATTGTAAAGTCCATAGTCTAATGCCCAATTCAGAGAATGAAGGGATTCATGTTTGTACCCTTTATTTCTAAATCCTGAGGCACACCTTATATTTCATTGATTAAAGCAGAATCGTTCCAGCAAGTGAAGCACCATACATGCAGGCTTTAAACAAAACACAGATTATATGAAACACTGTACTCAGTCCTTACAGCTCTCCAAATCCAACATGCATTCTTGCTCATCCATTGGATACTTGGAAAGGTCCATGTCACAGGCCACTGTTGAGGTAATCCTGTTCCAAACAATGTGTACACCAGTTAGTTGTATTCAGATAGAGCCTTTGCCTTAGAACTCAGAAGACTAAATGGAAAACTTTGAAACTTTAATACTAATACAGGAAACTATTTTCAAAATCCTTATGGCTATTGCCTTTACTAAGTCTGTGGGAAACCCAAAGGCGAGGGGAAATTGAAGAAAGGTCAAATGACTTGTCTAATGTCAGAGGATGCTTCAGCTACTTCTAATGATGAAAAGGACATTTCTGAGTCAAATCTCCTCCCTTCCACTGTCCCAAAGATCACTACCAATACCTTAAGGGTTACTTTGGACTTTCAAAGGTGCACACTCATTATTTTTGGAGAACATTAAACAATTAACTTTAAATATAGTTACTGAGTTCTAGCAGGAACACTCTTCCAAAGTGAAAAAATACTATTTTCTCTGTTTGAAAGATGGGGAAGTTGAGCCTAAATCAGACTCATAGTTCCCTTGGAAAATAGTGAGAGTGGAGAACAGAATCTTTGCTCTGTATTCAACATCTTAATTCTCCCATTAAGGACATTCTGAAAGTTATCAGTCATTATGCAGTGGAAAATGTGTTTTAGGAAATCATCTTCGGAAAACTGAGTGATTACTTTATAGTCTGTTCAAAAAGTTAATACATGATAGAGTACACTTGCACTCTTTCTCACTCACCTGATGCTGTATAAAATGACTCCATCTGGCTGGAGCCTGATAAGTTTGTTTTCCACAGTCACATCATGGAACCAAGCAGACTTGGCATTTACTATGAAAGTATCTGGCAGCCAGAGCTTGTCCACAAACCGGCTGTCTAAGCCCAAAGTTTCGTTGGTGTGGTTGTAAGACAGACGGTCATCTCGCCAGCTCTGGTGCAAAAATACCGTCATGGTATATTCCTATGGCAAGAGAAATCCCAATTACAAAGTGATGCTAAACAAACACAATGATAATGCTTTGGGACTTGGTCCAAAATCATTGTATTAGCCTAGAAATGTATTAACTGTTTCCTGTGCAAATAAGTATTTTTATACTCAGTCAACCATAAAGTTGCCCAAGCATTTTAATTACTGCTTCTACCATGGATAAACCCAATATATCAAAAAGTGATTCAATGTCAGTGTTATATACAACATGTTGCAAGAGTTGCATATGTCTTAATGAAGAAAAGCAGTTTATTTATCTCCACAAGTACAACTTTTGTTTTTGAAAGCAAAACTAAAAAATCAGATGAAGTTACGCATCTGTAATGAAGGAAAAGGATGGAGGGAAAATCAAAGTTTTGGTTTTAAAATTAAATTTGTTGTTTTTCAGAAATGCAGTTAATTCATGCCTTGTAAGTTGTTACACTCCGCTGCTTTATTGAAAGGTCTTTACACCAAAAAGAGGAGCATCTCACAACCAATCGTTCCCTTAGCTTCTTTTTGGACGTTTCTGCGGTGAAAAGGAATTTGAACAGAAGTTGGAGTTAATGCTTGAAAATAGGCTTTCTGTTAAGTGCTGCACAGATCGAACCTTGCTAACTGTAGTAAGAAATCTCAGTGACTTACAAAAGGCTAGATTCTTGTAACTGGCAATGTCTGCCAGAAGAGACTATGCCTGTGTCTTGAAATACAGTGTTTGTCCTTTGCAGTACCTTCTTGTGGTAATTTATCCACTCCAAACATCTTGGGGACCAACTGTCTCTCTAGTTAGTTAGTTTTCTACACTTTCTGTCATTGCCATACAAATGTTCACAACTTGGTGGGTTTAATTGATGACATACCATGTTCACTTCTGAGATGTGGTCAATGCTGGCTACTTCAATTGCAAGAGCAACATTAACAGGAGGACCTGAGAAAAAATGTTTAAATGGGGTGATTTACATCATCATAGTACCTATAAAAATATAGATGACCCAAGACTTAGTTATTTCATACAGAGTTAATTCATGGAAGTATTTTCTATGACAAAATACACTTTCCAAGTAAAATCAACCCTAAAGCAAGAGACTTAAATCTTTTACAAATTGCGTCCTCAGTTTCCAACAGAACACCTCGCTTCAGTGATAAAGGACATGAGTTATAATCACAACTACTGAAAATTCTGAACTCCCTTCTGGAAACCACATCATCTTGTTTAAGACAGCATGACTTCAAGCAAATGCAGAAGTTATCACCATTTAATGTAATCCAAAATTCCTTCAACTTAGATATTAGTGATTTAGGAATTGTATCAGCAAGAAGACTGCATTGCTAATTATGTTATACAGTCCATCTTTTTTCAAAATCAAGCAAATTGTTGATTGTTATTATTTCCAGTATCCAAGTAATAGATAATCACAACCTTTTAATCATGTAGATGATGAAGTTCACATAAACATCAGAAGGTAGAAGGATTGTAAGAAAAAAAGAAACATTATTCTCAAAGTCTCACCTCCAATCCCAGGCCTGAAATTACGTGCATACCCTTTCATTAAATCATCCAGGTTGGGTAACCAGGATATTTCGATGTTGGAACCTATGTAATCTCCAATGTCATTCATAGCTCTAGGTAGAAAGAATAAGGATCTTTTAAAACTTGGCTATGTTTACAAACAGGAAAGTAACAGAAAATGGAAGACATTGACTTCTTTTACACCACAGACCACCTACAGTATAATCAGCTATATTGGTAATTTAGTGGAAAAATACTGTATATAGAGAGGAAAACCATTTCAGATATTTCTGTTTAAATCAAAATATATTTCAGGCAAGACTATAGCCTCTTTCTGAAATACAAGCACATACTTTTTAAAGTTTTTTTCTTTAGAAAAAAAAAAAGTAGGGGAAAAAAGGATTTAGAAATGTAAAGACAGCATGAGGGAAACCAAGATACATTGTATACTGCATAAAATGCATCTGCAGATGCTGAAATGCAGCTCTCTGGGTAGCAGGACAGAGCAGCTGTGACAGCTCCTAGTATCACTATGGAACAGCTGAGATTAGGAAGGCTTGTACATTGTCAAATGTGACGGGAAAACAGTAAAAATTACACAGCTGGAATTTGGATTTAAGATCTTTGATACTGTGAAGAGTACCGTGGGGCTTCAGAAATATGAACAGCAATGCTAATAGAAGGTGTACAAATGCATGAAAACGGCAAAGATATGGTCAAAAAGATCTCGTTTAAAAAGTGAACAGCTGGAAGCGCGGAAGCACCGAAGGGGGCATTCCCATGGCCCCGACCTGGCATGGAGCTGCCCGTGGGCTGGACCCAAACCCTTGGCGGGAGTGTACTGTGGCGCTGGAACTCAGGAGGTGCTGTCCATGGCACCCGAAAGCCCCGGTAGTTCTCCCTCATTCTGAGCCAAAGAGGTGGTTGCCTACAGTCCAGGTGACTTGGGACCCTCCAGAAACCTCGAGAGGGGCCCATGGTTCTGCAGCACAAGGAGCTGCCCATAGTGGTGAGCCTGAAGGATTTCGCCATTGTCCTAGAACCTGAGGTGTGCTCAGTGATCCTAGGAATGCAGGGGCAAGAGTCCTAACTGTGGTCCTGGACTTAGGGACATTCCTGTCCATGATCTTGAGCGGTAAGTAAGTGAGGTATCCATAGCACTAAAATACCTCTGTTCCACTTCACCTACCCACAGGTGCCCAGAGTTTTGGGCATATAGGGATGGTTCCGTCATGCTGGGAGGGCCCAGCTCACCTGCTTGTGCTTTTTTGCACTTGCCAGCATCAGGCAGTGTGGGTGTTTGGCTGTTTGTCCTCAGGTCAGGGGTGTGGGGTGCCATAATGCACGCATCCTTTTGTAGTCACTCTTGGGACCTGAGTGAGCCACCAGACAGACAGTAGGTTTTTTTGGGAGGTAATGTGTTGCTGTCAGATTTGTGCAGCATGCCACAGTCCCCCTCCCAGAAATAAGGCTCCATCTCTCAGGATCCAGTGATGTTCCTTGAAGACATTAGCACAGTTTCTTGTTGCCATTTTCCACCACCTGGCAGATGCCAGCCTCTCAACCCTCCTGGTACAAGCAGTTATGTGGATCTTCCATAATCTCTTATAAACAAAGGCAAGCTTATATTGTCTTCATTAACTGTTTAAACTGAGCTGGCAGGCTTCATTTGAAGAAGATCTGTGCCTGCTCACATAATTCCTCTTGCCAGCACTGTGATTGACATGACAGGAATAGATAAATGACGGACTATGACAATATCTACCACAACTATTTGCAAAGAGAAAAGTTGCCAGTGGTTTGAGAGGGTCTGTATCTGAATGCCAGCACTATATCAAAACTGAGCCCTGTTTTAGCGTCTTCTACTGTGTCCAGCAATAAATAAGGCATTTGAGAGATATGTATCACTAGTAACAGAAGAGAAACTCGTTAGACATCGATGAAAGGCTGCAGAATAATATACCATGAGCATATTCTGCCTTGGTACTTACATAATTTTCTTAGAGTGTTCATGCGACATCATTGACCCACATAAAGCACATATTTTTTCTCTTCAAAATATACCAGTCTGGGCATTCTGCTCAGCACATGCAGTTACTGCTAGCACAGTAGCAGAGTATCTTACAATAACCAACTCTTGTCACAGGGGACTGAAAGAAAGGTCTTTGATTGCCATGGTCATAAAATTCTTGCCCCACATGTATGGAGTGAATTACATAAGGAAGGAGTCGTGGGATTACAATGTATAAATGTATTTCTGAGCAGCAGAGACACTGAAAACTTGCATTAACGGAGTTGTCAAAGCATAAGTGGCCTTAAAGCATAGGGACGCTGCTCCAAAGTGAAACTTCATTAGTTTATGGAAAATGTGAAAATTGAGGATATATATTAAATTGCATTTATAATGTTTCCTTCCCATGAGCACGCCATTGTTGTATGTTCATCTCAAATCACTCAGCTATTTCTCAGGTTCCTATATCTCTTCTGAGTAAGGATCTTGGAAGACTCAGAGCCATATTTTCAGCTATGTAAATTGGAATAACATAATTGATTTAGACAAAGGCTTTGAAGATTTATAACAGATGTTGACAGAGTTTTTTCCTTCTTTATTGGGTCTCATCAGTTATATAAACACTTCTTTCTATCAGACTCCTGTTTCCTATGTGCTAGTCTTTCAATCATCCAACTGTCAGTATTTACTTAAATGAAATTATTGTTTCATAATACTTGGCAAGATCCAGATGCTAAGGTCTGGCTTTCGTCTGCAATACCACCAAACATTCAGTTCAGAAATTCTTTCATTTATTTTCTTTTACGTTCACTACCCTATTTCTGGAAATACTAAGGCTATCAGTTAATACAGAAAAGAACTAATTATTTTAAATCAAGGCTGTGGCACATTAGAGAATATGAGATTATGGTGAAAGTATTTTGTTTAAAAATGTACTTATTTGTAACTTGTAAGTCTCAGCCGCAGATATGTAATGGTATTCCTAATCAGTAAAATATCTGATCTCCTTTTATAGGTAAAGAATGATACTTTACATCTTTTCATAATTAAAGTAAATAACTAGAATATATTGAATGAATATATCTGCCTAAAATCTCTTTTCAGTAGAAGGTGGTGCTTTTCCACTCCTGTTGCTAGATCTGCAGCCAAGTTCTGTAAAGTTTTTTGAAAACGATACTCAAGTCAAAAGGTGACTGCACCACCTATCTTGCGTGCCTGATCTGTGAGGATGGGAGAATCTAACTTGTGCTTCCTACGTACACAATAGTACAAAAGTGCTAAGTACAAGCCGTTGTAAAATTAGAACACCATGTATATTTATGAGTACTCAACCCAAGAAAAATAATAAAAACAAATACTGCTGTTCCCCTTTCACAAAAGATATTGTTACGTGGGTACATCAAGAACTCATCCCCAGATAACTGACTTATAATCAGTCCCTTGCTATAAAAGAAGTAATGTCACTATAAGAACTGCCAGGAGCCTCATCTGTTTTGAAAAAGCATTTACAGTATGCAGCAGTTAAGGACAGCCATAGAGCTCAAAGGAAGTTAAAATGATGAGAGTTGGGTTAAAAACTGTGAGCTGTAGCTTGCCATGTGTTTTAAGCAGATTACAATCTAGAGGGAGTTTTACTTAAATATCCATGACACAATTAAAATGAATCTTGTTTCTATTATTAATAAAGCCTTAGGGTCAGATCATCAGTGTAACAAATGTGTTGAAGTAAGTGGAGCTATATGCGCTTCATACCAGTGGGGGTTATTAAAGTTATTACAGCTGAAATAATTTTATAGCTAGATCCACTTTGTTGATCTTTATACTACTGGTTAATTTTTAAATTTCTTTGAAATGGGGAACAAAACTACTCTTACTCAGTTGCTGCCATTCTCAGACACTAGCACAGTGCTCACAGAATGGCTCCTAGATACTCAAAGAGAATATGTGAATCAGAATAACCTAGAGTTTCATTTACAAATATTTATCACTGAGTTACCAAAAGCTTTTGCTAATCTTAGGCTTTTTCATGTGGATGATTAAGGGACTAGAGCATCTCTCAAATGAGGAAAAGCTGAGAGCTGGGACTGTTTAGCCTGGAGGAGAGAAGGCTCAGAGGGATCTTATCAATGTATATAAATACATGAAGGGAGGATGTAAAGAAGGCAGAGCCAGGCTCTTTGCACTGATGCCCAGTGACAGGACCAGGGGCAGTGGGCACAGACTGAAGCACAGGAGGTTCTGCTTGAACATCAGGAAACACTTTCTCACTGTGAGGGTGATAGGTTGTGGAGAAAGGTTGTGGTCTCCATCCTTGGCAATATTTAAAAGCTGTCTGAACATGGTCCTGAAGAACTAATGTAGCAGGGGCTATATGCTTGGGTGTATGATTCAGCATGGTGTAAATGAGTCCAAGCTCTGCTTGTGTCAGTCTGATATGTGCTCTTTAGGTCTAAAGTCATCCCAGGTCCTCCAGCACAGTAGAAATCTCCCATTCCCCTCTTTTTTGTCCCTCGAGAATATTGAGGGAGAGGAGAAATAACAAACTCAAGAATATTATTCTACCTATAATATTTTCATTTCATTTTTATCTGGTGAAGACAAAAGTGTGAATATTAGCAGCGAGTATAGAAGTCCTCGGTCAAAAATGATGACTTTGGAAAGCAGACCTTTATTTTCATGGCACTTTACAGGCCAGTTTGTGGTAACTCCTTTGAGCCATTCCTCTAGACTTCTGTGCATCAGATCCAGCGGTTTAAAGTTACATGAAGGATGGTGGGAGAATTTCATTCATCCTTGATAAGCAGTTGGGATTATATATGGCCTAAAACATTATTCACTTATTGTACCTTAAAAAGGAAGACCAGCATAGAAAAGACACATTGGAAGGGATTAACTTTTCATAGTGTAAGCAGTAAAGATGAAAAGAAAGGAAACTACTATTAGTTGATTCAGCAACTTCACTTCCTGACTTAAGCTGCTGTAAAGCTTGTTTTAGTAAGAAAAGGACTTTGTATAATTAAGCTATTGATCTGTAAAATTCAAGGGGCATAACAACTCATCAAAAAGCTTTTCTTCACTTTGCACCAGGCCAGAGTGGGGTGCCTCACTGACTGAATGGCAACATAGTCATGTGTACTAGTAATACCCTGGAAGTCATTCCCAAATATAAAGCTAAAGAAGATGGTTTTTCATCCACACTCTGTACACATCTCATTTCAGGCAGATATTTTAGAGAATATATTTGCATCTGTCCATATCTAGAGTTTAAGCATTGTGAGAACTTCAACAGAGCTCGCTGTTAACAGTAGAAAACAGATTATTGCTGTTTATACTATGAGAAGAATAGTTAGTTCTCTTGCACGCTAGACAAAGGGAAACAGAAATCACCATTGATAAACCTGGCAAAACTACGAAGTTCTTCTGTGCCAACAAAACTGTCCTTGACACAGGTTAGGGAAAGCGACTCCAAGCACTGAATCTCTGAGGACTAGGATGGAGTACGTTTCATTTTCTTTAGGATAATCTTTTGGGGGCAAATGGCCTGGATGTTATTGCCATTCAAGAAAACTTACTCTTTGGAAAAAGACAAGGAATATTCTGCAAGGTCAGTGAACAGTCTGGCCTCTGTCAAACTCCAGGATTATCCAGAGCACTATGTGTATCCTTCCCATCTGCCATTCCTGACTCTAAGTGAAGCTCACTGTAAATATGTTTTGTATTTTGAAATGTAATTGAAAAAGCATTAGGCTTAATTCATGGCAACGTTTTGAACATAAAAGCCCTTATTTCCTCTCTGTGAGTTTTAAGCTACAGAGAATGGACCACTCTTTGCATATATTCACGTGTTAAAGCTGCTCTCTTTCCATGAATAGAAGTAAAAGGCTGAGGGAGACACACAACAGAAGGACAATTCTATGTAAATGTACAAAAGTCATTTAACATAGTAGAATCTTAAATATAAAGATGCACCTAATTTTAATTAGAGAATTAAAATCTCTTTCAGTAAAGAATTACAAAGTACAGACCTATATCCCAAAACTCCTATCAATAGTACTCTTGCCCCCACAAATGAAGAAATATTTCACTAAGTATATTTCAGCAGATGATCTCGTTCACTATGACACATTTATTATTGAAGCATCCACAGCATATCGAACTCTGATACAATTGTGGAAGCTACAGTCTTTGCCCCAAGGAGCTGTCAAGCATATAAATGCCAAATTTCTTGCCACCGATCACTGTCTCAAGCAGACCACAAAATACTACTTTTAAAAAATGTTTACCTGAAAACAGCACTGGCATAAGTAAGATGTGCTGACTTAGGTTGAATTTGGCTCATTCACTTCAGTCAAATAGCACACAACAGAGAAATTGCTTCAAATACAGCCCTCTAAAGCACCCGGAAACGATGTTCGAAAATGCTATGGGGAAGCAGGGTACACGTATTCCTCACTTCCCTCCTCTGCCAAACCTTGACATTATTTTAATAGGTAGTTTTGCCTTTGGGAAGTCTTATGTCATACCACTGAGTTCAGAACTCGCTGAAATATTCTTCCTTTTTTGAATATGTTTTTGCTTACACCTGTCAATACACAGTCCATAGGACTCACAAGCAGAGAACTTACTGGTTTTGGATGGCCTCTGTCATTGTCATGAATCACGTTACATTTAGAAAACAAAATCAAAGCAATAACATGTAGCTATTGGCAGGTTTGCCCATTATTATAAAACCACAGTATTAATAAAATACTGCTCTTCATAAAAGCATCTCTTATGAAAAATAATTATATGTGATTTCATATTTAAGAACTCCAAGGAAGAAGAATAAGGAAGATCATGTGCTTCTTGGGCCCGTAAAAGGGGAATTATTTCATAGGCTGTCTATCTGTGAGGGATTTTACTGATGCAAGGATAAAATTTTGGTTTAGTTCTGTTAAACTCATTAAAAGAACACATCTAAGCAAAGTTACTCACTTTTTACAGGATTAAATGTTCTGCCATAGCCACACTAAATTCTAAATCTTCAGAAAACTGTTGTACTAAACAAAGCAGTCTTCTCTGACCATTGAATGTCTATCTTACACCTTTGCATATTTGGAAAACTGCTACAAACTGAACAGTTTGAATTTCACAAGCTAGAATTTGCCTTGCCTTATTCTCTGCCACGAGAGTGCCACAGACCTTGAAGACAGAGGCTGAGAAGACTGGCTTCCTCAAAATTCATTTTTTTCTTCTTTTATACTCAAACACCACTTTTCAACTAAACCACTCAATGCTAGCCCAAGTGCAGATAAAGAAACAGGATCATTGAAATTATGGGCAAGATCTTGATGCCCTTAGGTCATAAGCAGTATTTTTTCTGCCTTCACTGTAATACTGGATTGCTTCAGAGCATGAGGGTGTCAGGATCTGACCCTGGATAACAAATTCAAGGTCATAGGATAAGGCATTATGTCAGTCCTGAATACGAGCAGTTGACTTGACACTTCCTCTAATGCAAGATCCTTTCTTTCCCTTCCCAGTGAAAAAAAAAACAGATTACACTAATTCATTCCAAAAACTATAACAGCAATGCTATGTCTTACTACAATTATCATTTTGCTTCTGAAGCTATTAATAATGCCTATAAAGTAGAAGTAGGAAGACCCCTTGAATACCACAGCCATCCTCGCTCTGGATGATGTAGGCATGTTTTTATATGCAGCAAGTTCTTTTTTACTCCCCCTTCAATTTTCATTGCATAATCATGGCAAGCTTTCTCCACGTACAGCCTCCAGATCTGTAGAGAATATACAGAGAACATAGCTGGTTGCCTAGCTAACACCTTCAGAATAAATCTGACTGAGAATTGCAAATATATATCTTTACAATTTATTATTTTAAGAAATGGTTGGTGTTCTTCAAATGTTTTTTTCTAAGATCTCTGCCAGTCTCTTCCTCTTATCTCAAGTTCAGGAGACTTAGTGAACCCATTAGAAAGGAATGTCTGTATTTGGGAGGTTTTAATTGTGTCTTTGGAGGCCCAAAGCAAAGATGTTCAGTTAGTACCCCACTGGTTGTGCTGGGTTTTATGGAAGAGTTTCATGTTCAAGCAGGCCCCCTACAGAGCTGTTTAAGGAGATGAGGCTGCGCTGGGATGTGCCATGCCATTACAAAAAGTGATTGCCCCCAATTTATAGTAAGTGCCCTCGGGAAAAGGCTTCCACAGGCATCCTGCTAAAAACACTCCCCTTGGTTAAGCCAAGAAATTGCTGCTCAATTGGCAGAAGTGCATCCTCTGCTAGAAAAGGAAGAAAAAAGATGGGGCACATTGAGGAAACTCTTCAGTCAAGACCCATTTTTCTACTGAACACTCACTCAAGCAGTCGTAGCCCTCAAATGGAGAGCATGCCTGGACAAAAGTGGGAGTGGGCGCTGTGGGCAGGGAAAGAGGGCCAGACCTGGCATTTTTCACCCCAGCCACACAGAAAGAATGTCTGCCTAAGGCCAGTCTAAGAAAGAATGAATGATAAGGCGTTTTCTTACCTGATACACCTGTGCTGTTGGGTGCACAGTAGAACCAAGGCAGGAAAAACCCAGGTAAGAAATTCCATTTTACTCCCATTTATTAGACAGTGGCAAACAAAACCCACGTTCCCTGGCTCTCTTGGTAGCTCCAAAGCTCCAGTAGTGTTGCCATCCTCGCTCGCTGTGACAAGTTGAGGCTGAGTTTAAAGCAATGTATTGCTGCTCAGCAGCAGCAGCCCCCACAATGTCTACAGTGCCCGGGAGCCATGCAGGCAGCCAGAAATACGGAGCAGGTAGCAGGGCAGCTCTCCTCTGAAAACGGCGGGGCTCCGCCGGCTCAGCACCGCCCGGCTCCGCTGCCCGGCTTTGGCACAGCCCGGCTGCAGGTTTCAGAAGCGCCTCGCCCTTCCTCCGGCCGGTCTTCTCGGGTGCGAGGCTGGTTGCCGAAAATAACCTCCAAAACGATAGATTAATCCCACCGAGTGCGGGGGGGAGCAAACGAAAAGTGCTCCGGAGACACCGGACATGTCCTGTGCAAATAATCACGGGCGGAGGGAGGGAGATGCAGCCCGAGCTGAGGGCAAAGGCGATGAAGCCATAGAGTGCAGGCAGTCCGGAGAGAGCTCAGAGGGAGAGGCAAAGCAGGTTCGTTCGGCACGGCAAAGGGCATGTGAAGTGCAGGAACCCAGTGCCGCTGTGTGCTGGAAGCACGCTGCCACCGCCCCCCGCCCCCGTCCCTCCCCGTGCAAATCCCGGCTGCACGACTCCGGGGCGACCGCAGCTGCAGCCCGTCTTGGAGCGGCTTTCCAAGGGAACAGGCAAGAGGGACAGAGGGGACTCTGGTGAGGGCAAACCGCCACCTCTTCGCTTTCTCAAAGCTGTCCCGGACTGGCGGTACAAAAGAGGCAGACCCAAGGTTTTCCAAACTTCTGCCTCGTCTCTCTCAGATTCTAAGGGGCTTCTCTGAAGTGAAACGCTTCAGGTTACTTCAGCAAGCCCGGAGCTGTGAAACTGCACTTGCAATACTCCATCCCACGGCTGCTCGGGGGCTGACATCGTTAGCACTCAATAACGCCGTGCCCGTTTCCATCCTTGTGCCTTGCAAACTCTCGGGGACCTCTGCTTGCTCTTAGGGCCGTGACTCCTCGCAGGAGGGTCAGTGGGAAGCCCGGCCAGAAGGCTTCTCGGGAGTTCGGGTTCATCTTCACTTGCAGGTCAAACTCGGTTTTCTCCTCCATGTTCGCTCTTTTCTTCTCTCCTCCTCCGCCTCCTCTGCTTTTTGGTGCTGTTCAGTCTAGAATGACAATTTTAAAACCAACCCACAAAGGAAACACTGTGAAGGAGACATTTTAAAGACATTTTATTGTAAAGCAAAAATGAATGTGCAGATACCTTAAGCAAATGAAGGGATGCACCTGGGGTAAAGTGTTCAATGTATCTTTTCATATGCTTAATATTGTATTATTATTTAATACCAATATTTCAAATGGCAACTGAGGGGTGGCAGGTGAGGGGAACAACAGCCCTGTGGGATCCAGGGGGAGGATAAATGTACAGATTGCATACAGATCTACACAATACATACACAAACATCCATACACACGCATACAAGATCATAGGTCATAAAAGTGTAAGAATGATGTGGGGGGTTATCTTCTTTCTGATCTCTTCCTTCCTCTGCACATTTCAGTGGTCATGCCTGCAGCTAATGTATGCTAAGGAGGAAAAGACCTAAATTTAAACTCAAGTAGTTGGATTGTCACATGAAAACTGGTTTTTTGGAGTGGGGAAACCAAAAGATTTTTAATGGAATTTACAGGATGACATACGGAACAGAATGATTTTGTCTCTCCATATAATAGAACAGATTTACACCTTTCAGGATATTTTCAGTTGACTTTCATATTTTTCCTACTCTTAAGGATGGCATTACAATCAGCTATGTACCTACGCTGAGAATTCCTTGATATTGTTTTTCTTTGGCTAGACAGCTGCCATGTAATTTACTAGTGAAAAAGAACAGTTTCCTATGTCTTCAGCATACATCTGTAAAAACAGCACAAATCAGCCAAGGCAATTTGTACACGTAGAATGAGTGTGTGTATATAAGTATTTTACACATATATAACACATCTATAAGTGTGCGAGTGTGTGTGTATTTGTGTGCTGGTGTAAGTACATCAGGGCAACATATGTGCTACAAGTTTTGCCGTTAAAACAAGTAAAATACAATGGCAATCCTCAAAAAGAATCATTACTGAAAGAATTGTATTTCTGTAACAACTACACTTTCAGCACTTACTCACTTTGATCCCATGAAAAAGTTCTTTGCTGTCAGTGGTTCTAATATTGCAAAAAAGAAAAAAAAGGAAGAGCATCACCTACATATTTTCTCTAAATTCATTAAGATAGTTCTCTTTCTCACTTCTTCTATCACTATGTTCCTTTTTCAGCAGCTCTACAGCCAAAAACAGTGAGGTGACTGGCCACAAAATCTTCAATGCAGTTGTGATGGGACTATGTTTAGCTTCAGAATCTTAATATTTTTTCTGAAAAATCTGGTATTCAAGGTACATTATCAGGGTTCTGATTATCCCTGGAAAAAATTAACTGTCCCATTCATTTCACTGGGCATTGCATAGGGATATTTATCCAATTGCTGAAATCATCTTGAACGACCAAGGTTTTATACTATAGATTCGGATTAATCATAGAATCATGAATGAAAGAAATATATATGGGGAATCTTCCATCACCACCATAACAGTGCCTGGGTTTAACAAAATCTCCCATGAGTTTCACAGGACTGATTTAGCTACGACTTTGTGTCTGTACTTCAGAAAAAGAGGTGTTCTAAGATCCATTCCCACAAAACCCTAAAATAAATGTGGAACTTCTCTCAAATAAATCAATTACATTTGATGTAAATAGGCCTTAATTATATCCTCTATATTATACAGAAGAAGGGCAAATGCTAGGTCATTCAGCCTTGGTTTTAGTTGGTTCTGCACACAAATATTTAAGCAAAATAGGCTGTTACATAGGTATAGATATACACATATATAGATACACCCCCACTCAAAATTAATAATTCCTTTTAGTCAAAGGGAAGAGAGGGGATAAAATAATAATGATCAACAATATATTTCATTTCCTACAATTCTAGCAGAATATCCCAAACTCCTTACAGTCAATGACAGATTAAAATTGCTCAAGAGATAGATTAAAAAACAATTAAAATTGCTATTAAAACGTCAAAACAAAACAAAATAAATAAGCTCTCCAAATCTTTCTCATCTAATCCTCTTGAAAATAATTAAAGCTTTCCTTTGGCTACTGGCTTGGAACTGTCAAATAGTCTTAAAAAGATGGCCCATGATACTAAATTTTTCTTAAGCCTTTTTGTCACTCTACTAAATTACTACCCCTCCTCAATCCCTATGGCTGCAGGCATGAACATTTATGAAAATACCCATCCTATGATCTGACGCATACGGAGCTCAGATGGATCATCAGCAACCGCGTGGGATTAAAGAATGCTCAACACTACTGGGTTGACAGGTCAGAGTTACACAGTTTGGAACAAAGTTTCATCTTTGCTGTCATACGCATAAAGCTGTTGTAGGTCTGGCAAAATGATGTAATAATGACCAACGTGACACCTAGGTCAGTATTTCCGTATTATCTGACCATGTCAGTCTATCAAAAGTTGATGGGCTCCACCCACATCTGGACAATTTTACAAGTAAATATCATTTAAACACTATTATGAATTAAATCATTAGTTGTAATTATTACTATATTAACAATTACTAATTTTTGAAGTATTTACCCTTTCTCAAGTAGTAAGCAAAGGTCACAACTTTGAAGTAATATTTTACTATAATTAAAAACAGAAACCCACAGTTCAAAAGCTGTCAAAGTATTTTTCTTCTGGAGCACCTAACAAGTGTGACTTTTTCCTGATCGTAGTCATCTGCACTTTTGTAATTGCTAGCGTAAAATAATTTATTGGAAAGCATAATTTGATGGGATTGAGGAGAAATATGCTCAGTGATTTTGGCCAAACAACAAGTTTTCATAGTCCTTTATTACCTCAGCGTTTTGAGAGCATATCAAAAGGGTGTTATTTGAATTTTACAGTTGCACTGCATTACCTGATATTCTTAATAGATCATTTTCTAAGCAGGACAGGTGGTTTTACCACCACCAAAGATGTCATATTGTCACATATAATTTTTAGAGGCAAAAAATGTACCACACGGATAATTAGTTTCACTCTCCCACGATTCCACATAAACAGCTCTTGAAAGACTGTTGTGGCAACGTCGCCAAATGTCTCTAGATATATAAATTACACACATATGCCTATTTTTATAAATGAAATTTGGGAATATCAGTAGCAATCGCATGGTGGGAATATTTAGCTCATTTCAGAGGTTGTACCATACTTGCACTGTATGAATGTCCCATGGCCCCAACACAAACGTGTCTGTATTTAATAAATATCAGTATAATCACCACATCAATTTTCCTTTCACCTAAAGCACTGGATGAGAATTCTAGTTTTTATCTGTTTCCAAACGTTCTGTAGAACATGCGGTTCCTCCCTCAGTCGGCATAGATTCTTTTGATAATCATGAAGCGTGGTGTGGCTAGACACTTTGCCTTCTTTTTCTCTTCTCTGTGCAACAGATTTGGGATGAAGTTCCCCGCTTTGCCCCTGAGCCAGGGCGAGTTCCAGGACTGGAGATGACTGTCTGCCAGACGTGTTGCTCTCAGTGGTGCACCCAGCTGATGTCATCCCTGGTCATTCCTCTGTGGGGTGCTCTGATAGCAAATGCCCCTCTCATTCTTTCCTACTACATCTGTAAGGATGACTCATTGGTAAGATGCTTATCAATGCTTTGCCATTGTTTTACAGTCAAACATTGATCCATAGCATGGAATAGGGGCAGAGAAGTTGTTTTATGTAATCTGATATAAACCACACTGCAAAAATTAAGATTCCATTATTGGCATGTCTTCCTGCCTAAAAGCGAGAAAGCTCCATATATGAGCTACTGTCACCTTGGAAACGTTCAGAAAAGAAATACCAAGCGCCTGTGGAAGCACAGTATGTAGCCATACAGCAAACTGAACTGTCCAGTTCTGCTAAGCTTGAAATTGCTCATGAGGTGGTACTAAAGTAACTTCACTGAAATGTCTCTAAATTTAACTTATAGTAAGAAAACAGCACAATTTTAATTTATACATGCTCACTCTGTTACCCAGTTTCTCAGAGTTGGGCCACTGGTGGTTAGTGCCTACAATAT